GATTTCTTGGATATGACATCAAAGGCATAGGCAACAAAAGAAAAAGTAGGCAAGTTGGACATTATGAACATCAAAAGCTTTTGTACATTAAAAGATACTATCAACAGAGTACAAAGGCAACCCCACAGAAAGGGAGAGGATATTTGCAAATCATATATCTGATAAATAAATACTATTGAGAATATATTGAGAACTTCTAAAATTCAACAACAAAAAAGCAAACAACCAAATTCAAAAATGGGCAAAGGACTTGAATAGACATTTTTCCGAAGCTGTACAAATGGCCGTAAGTACATGAGAAGATGCTCAACATCACCAATCATTAGGAAAAGCCAATCAAAACTACAATGAGATACAACCTTACACCCATTAGGAAGGCTACTATAAAAAAAAACCACAAAACAGAAAATAACAAGGGTGGCTGAGAATGTGGAGAAATTGGAACCTTTGTACAGTGTTGGTGGGAATGTAAAATGATACAGTCCCTGAGGAAAATGGTATAGTGGTTCCTTAAAAAACTGAAAATAGGATTACCACATAATTCAGCAATTCTACTTCGAGGTATACACCCCCAAAGAATTGAAAGCAGGGTCTTGAAGAGATATTTGTACACCCATGTTCATAGCAGCATAACTCACAAGAGCCAGAAGGTGGAAGCAACTTAAGTGTCCATGGACAGATGAATAGATAAACAAAATTGTGGTGTATATACACAATGCAATACTATTCAGTGTTATAATAAAAAGCAGGGGAATCCTGTCACATGCTGCAACATGGATGAACCTCGAGGGCATTATGCTAAGTGAAACAAGCCACTCACAAAAAGACAAATATTGTATGATTCCATTTATACGAGGTACCCAGAGTAGTCAAATGCATAGACACAGAGAGCAGAATGGTGGTTACCAGGGGCTACAAGGAGGAATAAATGGGGAGTTATTATTTAATGGGTACAGAGTTTCATTTCTGCAAGATAAAAAGAGAGTTCTGGAGATGGATGTTGGTGATGGCTGCACATCAGTATGAACGTACTTTGTGTCACTGAACTGTACACTTAAAATAATTAAGGTGATAAATTTTATGTGTATTTTACCACAATAAAAAACTCATAGAGTTACATTGAAATGATAACACATTTCAGAAAAAAAGACAACTGCTCTGGATATCCAAGTATGCTGGGTACCCTACTGACAAAGGGAATGGGAAGTCTTGGATGCCAGTTAGCTACTTAGTAGAAATTAAGAACAATATTAACCACGGAGGGCTTCCTGGGGGAGGTGATATGGTTGGGCTGATGCTAGGCCAAAGGAGAAGAATTACAGTGGTGAATGATTCCGCCTCAGTGACCATCTAAGTACTGCCCTTGGCTCACTTCCTCATGGTTTCCAGGGAGACAGGGAGTTTGGAATACCCACATTGCTGTCACTTGGCAACCAGGAACTGGTGGCTGCAGCCACCTGCTGAGTTCTTTCCACCATCCTGGGCCCTCTTCTATGGCATGGGCTCTATTCTTCCCAGGTAGTGGGGACTGAGCCGGGGAGGCACCTGCCACCTGCTTCCCTTCTCAGCCGCTCATAGGCCTTGTGGCAGACTGGGACACTTGCTGATGTAGGTAAGTCCACAGAAAGTGCTGGATAGACCACGGGCAAGACACAGAAAAACTCTAGCCCCAGGGGATGCTCCCATTTGTTCCCATCCCGGAGGACCCCGGGGTTCGGGGCAGATAGGACACAGCTCTGGCCCTGAGGGCAGGAGACAGAGCTCACCCCATTCTTTCAATATACCGATGCTAATGCCTACTCCAGGCATGGCTCACCTTTAGTTGGGGGCTGGAGGGGGACATAGCAGACTCACCCCTGGGCAGTCACCTGTAAGCACCAGAGACTGCTCTCTCCAAATTCCACAATTCTCTGCCTGAGGGCATTTCATGACCCCAGAAGCAGCTCTCAACTGGTGGCAGATGCCTTCAATGGGAACAACTCTTGAGACATGTCGTGCTCTGCCTCCCAGAGCTCCCAGCAGGCCGGAGCTCCAGCTGCCCACAGAGATCAATGGCCTGATCACACTCCCTCTGTTGCCTGCTTCCCTTCTTGTTCTCGGTTCTCCACTCCCCTACTATTATTTCCCGCAATCAGCTCCCAAATAAACCATTCAAAGCCTTGTCTTACCATTGGCTTCTGAGGGAACCCACTCTAAGACAGGGATAATGGTGTAGAACAGGGAACCAGAGTTGTGTTCCAGGGAACCACGCTACAACCAATTGTATGCAAAGCAGTGTTGAACCAAGGGTGGGGGAGAGGGTGCTGTCTGCTCAAGTGCATTATCTGTAAAAAACTTAAAAGCAGTAATAAAACTGACCAAAAGCCAGTCTGCTTTCTATAATCACCCTGAACCAGCAATGCTGGTTGAACTTTATCAACTTCAGTGATAAAGTTATTCTCCCCACTGAAGCTGACAGCTCTCACTGTCCAATGCCCATGCTTTGGCACCCCACTGATGCCAAGTGTACTGAGGAGAGAGTGATTAATCAGAGGCAAAAGAGATGAGGGAAGGCCTCACTTCGGAGGCAACATTGACCCTCTAATCACACAGAACTAGCTGCATTTCACATCTCCATGCCTTTGCATGTGCTGTTCCCTTTTACTGGAATACGTTTTGTTCCTTAATCCACTCCCAATCTTCCTTCAAAGTTCTGTGAAATCAGGTCAAGAAACCATCCTTGACCTCCAGCCTGAGTTAGATGCTTTCTCTGGGCTTGCACAGACCTCTGAGAGCTCCTCTATCATGGCAGTTTTCATACTATGTTATTTTTGTCTGTAATTTTTTTTTAACTACCAGTGAGCTCCACAGAGACAGGATCTTACCCATCTGGCTCTGTTTGACAATAGGCACTTAGGAATGGGGCTGCCACTGGGCAGGTAGCTTTGTGCAGTGTACATCCTACACCACCATCCATGACAGCCCCACCTATGGAGATTTATTTATAGAATGAATGAATACGTGGGAAAATTTCCATAACTGGGTAAGGATATTACAACCAGAAGGGAAAGAAAAAGCAGGGAAGATTGAATGTGCAGGGCTTCTCAGTGGAAAGAGCAAATAGCTTTATGCTATAGGCGGTACAACTCAGAGAGGAGTTCCACAGCTATCAGCTTTAGCATCACCTAGAATGTTGTCGACATACCTGCACTCCATCTCAGACCTGCTCACTGAGAATCTCTGCAAATGAGGTTCAAGAATCTGGGCATCTCAGGGAAATCCTAAGAACACAGAAAAGTTTGGAGAGGCACAGGGCCAGCTGACAAAGTGACCAGTGGACAGCAAAGGGGTGAGACTGGCCCGATTGGATTGTTCCTAAGGCAAGAACCCATTCATTCAGGACTCATTCATCCTTTCTTTCAATAAGTATGTATTAAGCTCAGAAGGTATTCAGGTACCTCTGTGTTCAAGATAGATGTAGGCCCTGCTCCTTTGTCACAGTCTTGTGGGAAGATAGTCATCAAATAAACAAGCAAACAAATAAATTTTTAATACAGTGTCAGGTTATGATTAATCCCTTGCAGAAAAATAATCAGGGTTAAAGAGTGGAGGTTATTTTGGATGGGGTGGTGGGGGAAGCCCTCTGTTGGGGCCACTAGGAAGTGAGGGAAGAAGTTATTTGATATAAAGAAACAAACCATACAAATATTCGGGAAAAGAGCATTCCAGAAATAGGAATGCAAAAGCCTGGAGAACAGAACACGTGATGAGGGAGACTGGTTGGGAAGCTAATGCAACAGTCTCAGTGTGAGATGCTGGAGGCTCAGACCCACGTGTAGGCGGTGCAGATGGTAGGAAGTGGTCAGATTCAGAACACGCCTTGGGAGTAAAGCCAATTAGCTTTGCTGTTGGATCAGATTTGGGTGTGAGAGAAAGGGGGAGCCAAGGTCATTGCAGCCAGGAGTAAAGGGGATGAGGAGACAGTTGGAAGAGATGGTGTCAGAGAGGTAATGGGCTGGTGGGGCTGCTGGGGTGGGCGGTTCCTGCAGACCACAGGAAGGACTTTACTTCTCTGTTGAGTGTAATAGAACCCTGAGAGGCTTTGAGGAGAGGGACATGGTCCGACTAGTATTCTAATAGAATCTCTCTGGGTACAGAGTGCAGAACAGACTGTAGGGAGACTGGGATGGAGTGGGCAGTTCAGAGGCTGACACCAGACATCCACCCGAGAGATGACATGCTGGCTTGGACCAGCATGCTGACTGGGATGGGGAAAACGAATTTATTTGAGTAAAAACAATAAGCGAATTTCAAGAAACTTGTTGAAGAAAGAATAGGTGGTAAAAATCATAAAGTGGGTAGGTAAATCAATGATTGAAATTTGGTAGTGGGTCAGCAGTTGTGTCTTCTTGGGGAAGTGGCCTCAACTCTATGAGCCGTTTTGTCATCTGCAAAATGGGGATGAAAATGGAGCATGCTTCATATAGTTGTTGAGAGGGTGAGCTAAAGGTTTGGCACGTTATCCTAGGAGCCAATCTGCCAAGTTCCAGTACCCTCTCCACCACTGACTGGTTGACTGTGTCATTTTGGTCAATTTATCCCTCCTGTGCCTCAGTTTCCTCATCTGTAAAGTGAGGCATATTAATCATGAATACCTACTGCATAGGCTGGGTCGTGAACTCTGAATGAACACAAGTAAAGCATTTAGAGTAATGTGGCACGTAACAAGCACTGCATACACGCTAACAATTATTCTGAATATATTTTAGCCATATTTCCTGGCCTCTTTCCCGGCTTCCCATTCTCCATTCTGCGGATGGGAACTCTGTGGCTCACAGCAAGGCGGCCTCTCTGGCAATGCCCTGAGCAAAGCAGCGCGGCCGCTGCGGGTGGGAGTTGGGGAGTGGAGCTTTGAAGGGCCGTACTCCCCCCGAGCTCTCCCTTGCGGAACCTTTAAGCGTCGCTGTAGCGTTTCCAGCACGGCGCGTCTCGCACAGACACGCCGGCGCTTGGAGCTACTTCCGGCGGTCGGCCCCACCCCCGGGGCGTCTCCATTTTGGCTGTAGGTGTTGGACGGGCTAGAACCCGCAGAAGAGCGGTGCTGAATTCCAGCCGTTCCGAGGGCCAAGCCGACTCACTACACTCTCCGCCTCCCTTCCTCCGCACGCAGGAGCCGCAGGCGCTCATGGCGGGCCTGGAGGTACTGTTCGCATCGGCAGCGCCGGCCATCAGCAGCACGCAGGACGCGCTCGTCTGCTTCTTGCACTGGGAAGTGGTGACACACGGCTACTACAGCTTGGGTGCCGGTGACCAGGTACGCCACGGAGCCAGACATCGGGAGGGGGGAGCTGTCTTCCGCCCAAACCCGGAGTACCGAAGACTTGGTCCAGAGCGGCAGTCTTTACTCCCTCCCCAAGTCTGGGGTTCAGGACAACATTGGTAAAGTTTGCAGGTCAGGGGTGCTCAACTCTCCCAGCCTAGCTCGGAGTCCCTCACAACGCAGCTGGCACAACAAGATTTGTAAACCCAAGGACAGAAACTCGCTTCAACACAGCCTGGCAGTCTGTTAGGCCAGGATTGCGTGGACTTGGCACTGAGACAGAGGTTTAGCTCCCCAGAGCATTCCTCGCTCACCTGATCCCCTCTAAGCCCCTTACCACACAGCCTGGGGTTAGCTTGAGGGGACTCACTCAATCCACTACACATCTGAATCCAAGCACGGGTATGGAGGTGAGTTTTAACCTACCCAGCCGCAGTTCAGGGCCCTTACTTCACCGCTCAGCATGGGCCCAGAGAACTCACACACCCTTCACCCTTTACCGAAGGGCCCAGTGCAGCCCACTCACCACTGTCATCCCCAGTTCAGACTCTGGGAGAAACTACTCCCTACATACATGCACACATAACACCCTGAGTGTGAGTGTCAAATAAGCTGTCCCCACAGGGCCAGCCCCTCCTGCACTTGCATCCCAAACCTCTGCTTCTTACAGCTAGGGACCCCGTCATCCCCACAGAGCCCCAGGACTGCTTGGCCCAACCCACCTTACTAATTTCGTTACCATCCTCCCTATTCCCTCCCTGTGACCCTCACCTCCACATCAGCTTCGTGGGTGAACTGGGCCTCACCCACTTACTGCCCCTTCATTTCCCATCTGCTCCATCAGAGAAAATGTCCTCCCAACCGTGCTCTCCACATACACACACTTGAGCACTCTGTACTTCACACCTGCTCCTCAGTGTCACTGGCTTCTCATTCTCAGAACCAAGACCAGCTCTGGGAAGCAGACTACCCACCTCTTGCATCTTGCAGTGAGATTTTAACCTTCCCCTCATTTTTAACCGCTTCAGTTCTCAACCCATTGCCCAATCTTTCTAATCCTTTTTTAGCTTCTCAGATGTACATCAGAGTCTTATTAATTTTCTTCTCCTAACTTAGCTTTAGTCACCTCTCCTCAAACACACTTTATACATTCTGAGCACTTAGGCAGGTATCCCCCTCTCCCCAATGCTGTCCCATTCTTCTCTGCCCTTAGAACTAAGGACCAAGACCACTGTACTCTTCTGTCTTTTTTTTTTTTCTGAGACAGAGTCTCACTCTGTTGCCCTGAGTAGAGTGCTGTGGTATCAGCCTAGCTCACAGCAACCTCACTCCTGGGCTCAAGTGATCCTCCTGCCTCAGCCTCCTGAGTAGCTGGGACTACAGGCATGCGCCACCATGCCTGGCTAATTTTTTCTATATATTTTTAGTTGTCCAGCTAATTTTCTTTCTATTTTAAGTAGAGACGGGGTCTCACTCTTGCTCAGGCTGGTCTCAAACTCCTGACCTCAAACAATCCGCCCACCTCGGCCTCCCAGAGTACTAGGATTACAGGTGTGAGCCACCGCACCCAGCCACTGTACCCTTCTAACACTTTACCCCCGTCAGCAGGAATCAGAGCACAAAAACTATCATGGATTTCTAGCTCTTTTTTTTTCATACCTCAAGTATCTCACTGGGACCCCAGGTACACATTCGGCACCACCGTTCTCACCTCCAGACTCACACGTACTTCATCCCTCACGTAGGCTCTAAGACTAGAGATGAGGCTGGGAAAGAAAGGTTAGTCTTATACACACACACACACACACACACACACACACACACACACACACCCAGAAGCAGGAGCCATTTCTTCCTCCCAGATGCATCTGTCCTTGGCCCTTCTGTTAACACTGTACTTCATTCCGCTCTTTTCTTTCAGAAGTTCAGACCTTGGGACAAGGTAGAGACAGCTCCCCTTCCCCCAGTCACAAGTATCAGGCCCTCCTTTCAGCACATAGTCCTCCCAACAGAAATCTCGTGTCTCCCCACTTGCCCTACTCTGGCTTTCTAATCTTTAACAGCTGTTCACTTGCCCGAGTCATTTCATTTCAAGTCTTCCTGGAAAGTTCTCCCAGGAAACTGATGTGTAGGATGATGAAAGGTACAGTGGGGTTGGAAAGAGGAATAAAACTTAGTTTTGACCTTGGAACTCCCTCTGCTCTTTGCTCTGTCCTTCAGAGGCAACAAGTCTGCCCTGCGTTCTGCCCCTCCTCGTGTACCTCACTCCCCTTATATACTCCCAGCTAGCTTCTTCTACTGGGCCATGCTGTCAGAACCCCTTCCTCCTCTGTCCCCAGGACCAGGAACTTGTTCTAGAGGGCCTGACTCCCTTCTCTTTTTGCTGTTCCATAAATACATATCAAGGCTGCAGATCTCCTCCCACCACTCGTCCCATCACTCTTCCTGTGTGAGTGACTTTGTCAGTTTCGGGACATCAGTTCACGTGGGTTGGTGCCTCCTTCTAGCTGGCTTCATCCCCTTGCCATATACTTGAGGCCCAAAATTTTTCAGGTGATGTGTGCAGAACGAATATGATCTCATTAATGCTGGTTTTTAAAAAAACAAAGGTCCTTGACTGGTTCCCAAAGGTCCATTTAATTCTACTCCATTCATGGTGCTATGTGTTGAACTCCTGCAGACCAAAACCAGATGCTAGTTCCAGAGATTTTTGGGGGTGCCAAGGAGCCTGGGAAATGGCGGTTTTGTAAGGCATTGCCCACCGTCTCTCTGTCCACCCCAGCACAAAGTCTTTCATGCCCCTTGAGGGGACAAGTGTTTGGATTGCAAACCAGAGTGTGGTGTATTTTTTCTCTCTGCCTCTTCTCCTTAAATGCCATGAGGGCTCAGGTTGCATTTGTCCTTCTCTCACTTCTGCTGAGTCTACTTTCATTCAGAGTAGAAGCTGTTTGGAGAGGCATCTTTCCTGTTAGTTTATTTAAGAGGAGGTTTAATTTTCTAGTCTGGGGCCAGCAGACTCAGCTGAGACCAGTAGTGTTTGCCCAGCTCAGAGGATGTTTGTGTTGCCCCTCCATCCACCTCCTGCTCGCCACCCTTCTGGAGGTGATAAAGAGAGAAAGGTAGCAAGAGTGTGTACTTGACTATATAATACAGCAGTTAAATAGAAGGCTAGATTGTCTGCCATTGGCTTTAACAAAAACCCAATATTCAAATTTGGATTTCTTTTTTGACATCAGCACCACTCCTCATAAGAGCTTTACAGCTGTGTCAAGTGATTTAGGTGGCAAGGGGATAGAGGTGACCATACACATAAGTTAGAGAATTTTGGGTTTTTTTGTAGGAAATCTAGGGATTATGATGAAAGAGAGAAAATGCCTGAAATGATCTGTTCGAGTATCTGTGGTTGCATTTTAGCCCAGAGGGACTGGGGTGAACTCATGGCCATTAAAGAATGCTTCTAGCCCCAGGAATTTGCCTAAGAAGGCAATTATATTTACTCTCTTGATACCAGTCTGGTGGACCTGGCTGCGAAAAATCTTCTCCAGCCATAGCCTGGGCACCCAGGAGCTCTGAATTCCAAACCCAGCCCTGTACCTGACTTGCTATGACCTTGGGCAGTTATCAGCCCCTCTCAGGCCTTAGATTTTTCATCAGAGGGAGTTAAACTACACAGCCATGTACTTTGGCTGCTTTCCAACTGTAGCTTTCTGGGATGCTTGATATTTGATGCCAGGGGCTGCAGGGCAGTTGAATGCCATGTTTGGCCTGATATCGCCAGGGCTTGTCCCTCTCAGTCACACTTCTGTTTTTGGGAGAACATCAGTTCCACTGCAGTAAGAGACATCAGCCTCATCTGACCTCAGGGATTTTCTCTTAACTCTGGAAGCCAAAGGTGATGGGGTGGTGAGCAGACCAAATTATCTATATTCCAAGAGAGAACTCTGGTGGGTTGAATGCTGTACATAGAGGATATAATAATAAACTGAAAGGCCTTTGACAGAACAAAGATTAGGCATATCATCAAATTCCTGGCTTCCAAAGTAAACCTTGAATCCACAACACTGAACTATTTACAGGAAATTGACCCGGTTTAGGGTGAGGGAATAGTTTCTCTTTCTCACTTAGCAGAATGGTTTGATTAGTTTCACTTTCATTTTTGGTCATTCTCATTTTCTGCCTCAGGCCTATGAATTTCATGGTCATCCAGCCAGGTTTTAACCCAGGGCAGTTGTGACATCTTGAATTTTATCTGGGGCTGCTTTCCCAGTAAATTCCTGAGCACCCAGGATCACCCACAGAGGAGAGGCCAGCGATTCTCAATTCATAGTCTCCTATAGCCTTCGGTGCCTGTAAAGTCCTGCTTTGCTGGACTTTGGTATTTTGCCGTTGTTCTTCATCTGTGGTCCCACTCCCTCCCCTCCCACCGTATTCTTCTCGTGAATACAGATTTTCCCAGTCCACCTGCCCGTGTTGAGCAATATAAATACGCATCCATGAAAAAGATATGTTGTATTTTCTGTGTGCTTTTTAAAATTTTACATAAATGGCTAGGCTATAAACCTCATTTTTCCTGAACTTTTCTTTAAATCATGTTTTTTAATTTTATATATAATGCTACATTTAGACCAAGTTTGTTTCTTCTGACTGCTATGTAATATTCCACTGTAAGCATATTTTGTATTTTACCTCCACTTTGGCTACCCTGGCCAAGGCTGTGATGAAGAGCCCTTCTCATATCTCTAGTATGTCTGTGCCCAGGGTTTTTTCCAAGAGTAAGGGATTTGGGGTCATAGGGTATTGTCTCCCCTAATTGCACTAAATACTGCCAGATTGCTCTCCACAGGGTCTGTACAAGTTTAAATGCTCGCCAACAGCGCCTGGAGGTTCCCATTCTCCCCACATCCACACAAACATATAGCAAAAAAATAGAAAAGTGGATAATACCAGCCAAATGGGTGTCACCTGGTGTCTCATTATTTCAACCTGTGTATCTT